ATTTTACAGAGATTCAGCTTCACTTAGAAAAAACTTTGTGTGCTACCCATCAGACAAAAAAAAAAAAATTCTACACAACAGTCCAACTGTGTGCTCAAAAGAATGCTAAGCAAATATTAGAGGCAGCGGGAGTGTATACAACATTAATGGAAAAACACAACTAAATACAAATTTGCCAGGGGAGAAGTAAACTGGTGCAAAGACACCTCCATGAAAAAAAATGTTTCTACCTAAAAATTTGTGCTTATCACGGGACTTAATAAATCTGCTTCACAAACATAAAGAGGCGAGAGGAAAAATGGAGAGACTGAAGGGAGCAGAGTTTGTGGTGAGTTCAGTCACCACATCTTAATGAACGTCATCCTGAACAGGCTTCAGGCTTTTTGCAATAACTACTTTTGGTGGACGATATATTGTCCCAGAAATAATTGTGATAATATTGTCATTTAAGATCATTTTATGCCACTGATATAGTGATAATATAATTGCATAAAAAAAGCAATGAACTTTTAACTCTGAAGAGTATTCAACCACTGGAATTGGAATGTGAAAAAATAAATAAATAAAACAAGTCAATAAATTAAACTTAGATGTGTGTGTGTGTGTGTGTGTGTGTGTGTGTGTGTGTGTGTGTGCGTGCGTGGAGGAGCTGAGCCACGCCCATAGTGAAACTCCGACAGAGACAAAGCAGATGAGAGGACAGAAGCAGCGCGACCAGAGATGACAGCAGAACGTGTCTCAGCATAGTTTTTTCTGTTCACTTGGCGTAGGCGTTGTGAAAAAATGCTAAGGCGCTATGCCTAAGTCTTAAAACAGTTGGGACAACCGTGCTGTTTATTCTGGCATCATGTTGACTTAAACGTTGGTGACACTGCTGAAAACAAACACGCACACAAACACGGGCAATATTGTGAGAAATATGGACAAGGCCTGGATAGGGTAATACAGCAGTTATGATGACAGGTCTAGTCCTCTAAACCTTATCTTACACCTCAACCAAACTACACATTCTTTAGTGTCTGACAGTTCATCTATATCGCCATGTTGCTATACAGCCTCAGAGTTGTACATTTGTTACCTTGCCTGCCTGTTACCTTCATTCACACTGTCCTTTGGGTCTAACTTAGGACAACCAAGAGGAGGAGAAAAGTAGAGCGTGAACTGACAAATAAAACAAAACAAGGGTACAGTATGGAGACCCAACCACCGTGTGTAACTGCTGACTTGGTGGGATGCGGGTTTGGGGGTCTGATCACAACTCTGTGTGTGGCCCTGCCTGGTTAGCAGGCCTGTCTGGCCCGGCAGTGACGAGCTGATGAGCCTCTGTTAATTAAAGCCTGAGCTCCATGTCATCAGCTTATCTGATGAAGTGAACTAGAGAGAACAACGCCACCGGCTGCTTTGTTCACCCCGGGGTCTGCGGGTTTCACCTCATACATGTATGTGTGTATGTATCTGTGTGTGTTTGTGGAACAGAGAAGGAAGTAAAGAAAGACCACCAATTAAAAATAATTGGGACTAATTTCATAAACACAGTGCAACAGGGGAAATATATTTAATCAGGCGCGATCATTAGACTAACTTATGCTCCACTTCCCCCTGCAACCAGGCTGGTGCTTTAGGGCCTCGGAGAGAGTGAAGGAGGACGAAATAGAGGGTGGTAAAAAGAGGGAAAGAGGGAGAAATGGTAAGGGAAATAAAAAAAAAACAAAGAAAAGAAAAGTTTGAGAAGTAGGCAGACGGAGAGTTGGTGGCCAGAGTTATGTGTGATCCCTTTCATGTCCCTTGACTGGCCCGTGTTGCCGTGCCAACCCAAACAGCGGCGTTGGGGAGGTCTGACTCTCCCACTGCTCCCCTCTCCCTTGCCCCGTGCACACCCCACTGACAGGATGAATAACAAACCCGATGTGTGTGTCTGAGGTAGAGAGCAGGAGAGAGAAGAGCATGACATGAAACCACAGCAGTTTCAGTTAAAATCCACGTCCTGCTCTAAAAAAGTTATTTTGTGACCTTCTTCCCTTCCTCTGTCGCTGCTGCCAGTAAATCACTATCATCACCATCTGGGGACTGGGATTTCACAGTCTCACTACTGGAGCTGCACACCCACACACTGACATAAGTACAGACAAACTATGATCCATCATCCCAAGCTAGCTAGATGTCCTAGGGTGAAGAACATTTGGGTTGGCTTCTCCGCTGACTGTAACCCCAAAGCTGAGAGAAGAGAAGAAGAAATCAGAAAGGAGAGGGAGGAGGTTTAATTCCTCACCAAAGGCTGACAGGAAACTAATCCATAAAGGAGTTGGAGGAACACTCATTATCACTCTCTTACCAGCATCAGTGTCGTTTTTGCCACAACTGAACAAGGGATTAACAGCAACTGCATGGAGTTGTTTACAACCTGCACACATCACACACACCGCCCATGCACAACACAGACTGTCTGGCAGCGCCCAATCAGACTCAAAGTTTTAGGAGAGAAGTTGGTTCCTTATCCAATCACACGCTTTGTTCTACATTCGCAGTGTTGCCCATGACCAAAGTGGCTGTTTCCACATGTGGTGTCGGCTGTGGAGCGTTTGGTTTAAGAGCTCATTTCCCAGGCTGCAATAAGCGGAACCATTTTCTTGGATAAATACTGTTCAACCCTTTAATCAAAGCCATCCCTAAGACAACAATGCAGACATACTGTACTGTGCTGTAGAATGAATACATGACTGTTTAATTCACATGCACAGACGCACACAGTACTGGGAAAGTTGAACTGCGAACACAAATGCAAACATGCAGACAGGAAAAATTTTTGGAAGCCCAAACTACACTCTATATTATGGCAGTTTGAGGAGTCTGTTGATGCTGATGTAATGTCCACCCTCTGGTGTGAAGCCTTTCTGGTTAGATACAATATTTAAATCGTAAAGGCCTTTGCACACCAAGTCAGTATTTTTTGTCTGAAATTGACGCACGTGTAAAAATATGAAATCTCGTTGTGTCAGTCGATCTAAACTGTGATTTTTGTGTGCTTTTATCGTTTTCTATGTACTGTAATCAGGGCCTCCTTGTAAAAGAGAGCTTGTTCTCAATGGGTTCCCTGTGTAAATAAAGGTAATTATAATTAAAGTTTTTGAACAGCTATGTAGCTAAAGCATGATATAACCATTCCATATAGCTCCATTAGTGTCCAAGAACTAAACGTCAACATTTAAATGAGCCACTATTGCACAACGTGACATGTTCATGTATTACGATGAACATGAGCACTGAAGTTTAATTTGCCATCATGAATGCTGGTGTGTCAGGAGGAGGACTTTAACCTTTATTCTTCAAATATCCCTATGAATAAAGATAAATGTTGCCTCACTGATTATGTAACAAACCGTGGGAAAAAAACTCCGGCCTTATTCTGAAAATTCATGGAAGTTTGATGCTGCTCCACAGACAACTCAAGATCACCAGGGCTGACAGGAAACATGGAAGAGAAAAAATCTACAGGATAAAAAAGTCAGAGGGACATCATTTCCTGAAGATGCTCCTTAATTAAGTCCCCCAGAAGGAAATAGTTAGTGGGGTCGGGGGTGTGTTGCATTAGCCTGTCCTGCATACTGTCCTAAACTTACTTGTCCTTATTTCTTCTCTGTATTTCTGCCGTTCCTGTGTGTGTATATTGTTCTTGTGTTCCTGCATGTGCTGTAGCCAAGGGGAGCTAAATAGAAGAATTTGTAAAAACATTGTTCTCATGGCGACCAGGTTTCATTCAACGTCTGGTTTCCATTTGAGTCTTTTAATTGGGCAGAATGTCACAATCAGTGTTTTGCTCTGGATGCAGAGAGAGACGACCTCCCGCCTCATGTTACCCCAGCCAAGCACTTCATCGTCTGCCATAAAAACTCTCACACAGACGCTCGTGCGTGCGCGTACACGCGCTTACATTTAAAAAGCGGGGTGCGCACACACTGCAGAATTCCTCTGAATGGGCAAGACGTGCGCATGTGTGCACACACATAGCTTTTTTTGTCTGAATCACACCTGGCACACTATGACATGGTAATTTCCAATGAAGTGTTTATAACAGAGAGTCAGGTTTTTAACATGAGCCACATCTCTCGGCCTGTGCCTGCCAAGAGGCCCCTCGATTCCAAGCTGCACTTAGCCAAGTAGAACAGGAAGAGAGGGAGGCAGAGTATGAGAAGAGAAACAGTGAAAAAGAGTGAAAGGATCAACAATCTTTATTAGTGCTTTACATAGATTTACCAACCCTATATATACTATATGAGCCTATGTGCGATATGAGATGAAACCCCTAACAGCAGTGTGTTATTTCAGGGTGTGTGCTAAGGTACAGCCAGGCCAGAACTAAAAGTAGCTCTAATTATGAACTATGTGGCAGGGGAGGAAACCGTGTGTGTACAGGCTCAAGGTTAAAGACGCTATTACTCAGGGAGGTACAGCTGGCTGTGGTGAGGAGGTAGAACGGTTAATTCATCTTAAGGCCTTGATCTGCTCTACCACACAGTTACCAGCTCAGCTAAACCAGCAATGACTGGTGCTGCACAGTGGAACCAAAGCAACCAGTAGGTCCACACACACTGGTGCATATTAGAAAGTTTAAACCACAATAAAATGTTTTCTATTCAGGTAAATCTCACTGTTGTAGCAGAGGTGCTGTCGATGTTAATGTGAAGGGTAATTTCTCTCTCACACTTATCCGCATGCACCAAGTTCAGACATTCCCACACTCGATTATTTGTGTAGCTGCTTGCCAAACTAACCAGAAAGTGTGTGTGGGTGTGTGTGCATGAACGAGTGTGATGCAGGGATAGAGAGAGAGGGATGGGGTGTGAAGACTTTGATAGAAACTTTCCCATTAACAGCACTGGATGCAGACAGAGGAAATAAACAATCAGCTGTTCCCACTCTCCTACTCCAATTTCTCTCCTCTTTGACCATCAGCAAATTTGGCAAACTGAGCACGCCCCTGGAAGCAATCACGAAAATTAGGATCACATTAACTCTCTCTCACCGGTGAGTTTCTGCAGCAAGGGGCTGAGTTCGTCCTCTCGGGTGATGACCAGGGTGAGCGCTCCCATCAGCTCCCTCTCCAGCTTCTCCAGCTCCTCCTCCTCGGTGTCCTGGTCTGCAGGCTGCGCCTCGTCAGCCAGGGAGTAAAGGTAAACCAGCAGGAGGATCAGCTCGTCAGGCCCGCATTCATCCTCCCTGGACCTCGACCCCGAGGCCGTACTGTCCTCACTTCCACGGGGCTTCATCAAGGGCAGCAGCTGCCTCAGCACGGCAGGGAAATCAGAGTCTCCGAGAGCCTGTGACACCCGAACACAACACACAGACACAGACATACATAGAAAACAGGTGGTCAGTCAGAAGACAGCAACTTTTGTGCCTACTAAAGACATAAAAGGTGCCAAAGGGAGCTGTGCAAAGTCATAAATGACATATAAATCACCTCATGTGATGTCACTCAAGTCAGCGTGGGTTGATACAGACTACAAGTTTTAAATGAATAAAAACTGAAGCTGTGGTGTTAGAAAGAAGTGACGTTACTAAACCTCTTTAGCCTGCTCCTCATCTCTGCTTGAGGCTAGCAGCTAATAGCATAAAGACACCCTGACCCACAACTGTCAGTTGTCGAGTTGCATTATGGGAAAGGCTTTGCCAAGAGAGAACAATTCTTTTTTATTTCAAGTTCCCCTAACATCGTTTTCCCACCAAAAAAAAACCCCTCTTTCTGGCACTTTGCCAGTGTGTTTCCTGTATTGGACAGCGATTGGCTTTCGCATTAGTGACATACTTGATCTAGTAAAAAGTGCCACCAGATGGCAGGAGCCACATTTGAAGTAGTCTGGGGCTGTTTAGTGGCCGTTTTGGTATGGAACCGGAACCAGGGCGAGAGAGACAGGATCCGAAATTCGATGGATGTGCCTTTCCATCAAAATAAAATCACCAAGTTAATAAAAATGCGGTGAAACTTTTTAATTTAAAGAATGTAATTTACAAGAAAAGCCCCAAGCCATTAAGTTAACCTTTGTCTTTTATTGTAAATCGATGGTGCGCCAGAATTTAAAGTTTTACTTTGGTGAACGCTTTTACTTTGGTGAATTTGGTGAATTCCGGATCCGCTCTCTAAACCAGAACCAGAATCCAGACAAAATTCAGAGTGAATGGAAACCGGGCTCTTCACGTACGGGGAAGACGCGAGGCTACATTTGAAGTACCGCGTCACTGAATCCTCCACAAAAAGTTCCTGCAAATGTTTCACAATAAAAGCCTGTTTAGAAAATGAAGGGATTCTCTCAACCGAAGTTATAATGGGCTTTTAATTTTAAATGGGTACAGGAAGTGTTGAGTTTGAAATGACTGCACGATGCATTCACTTTAACAGAACAAACAGGAGCCAATTAAAAGTAAAAGTAGAGAAAAAACAAAGGGAATAATAATTCCTGTATACAGAGGTGCCACCAGCAGCCTCTTACCTTCGCATTTTATCTTGTTTGTTTAGTCCAAAAGGAAACCGAAGTGTAAAAACAACAGGTTCATTCATTGATTAACTGGCTGTGTCCCCCTGTTGGGTTCATTGCATTATCATGCACAGAGTGTTTACATCATTTGATATTACCTATTCATTAGCCTGCATTCTAATAAGTTAGAGTTTGTGTGTGTGTGTGTGTGTGTGTGTGTGTGTGTGTGTGCGTGTGTGTGTTCAAATTAAGAGCACAGTGTGAGTGAGCTCATCGTTCCATTTGCTAATTTTACAGCTCTGTGAGTGGCTGAGGTAACGCTTAATTTTGTTTCATTCTTTTGTTGGATTTGCACTGAACTGCTCTCTCTCTCTCAACTACACACACACACACACACACACACACACAGCCAACATTTGGGCCAATGTTTAGGTGCAGTGACCTGTTTTTGTGAGCCTGTCTGAGCGGGTCTGAGTAGTCCCTCACCATGTTTGTGCTCTAGTCCAACATGCTGTAGATCACCGGACCGTTTTCAGAACACTGGCCACTCTCACAACAAGAGTGAGCTCATAGATCTATAAAACAAGGGCGTGGAGCTAATCTGTCCGAAAAATTGCATGAAAAATAGGTCCGAAAGGGGGGAAACGGAGGCAACGGGTTCACAGAGTGGAGGGAGAGAGTGCAAAACAAAGCAGGGGAAGAAAAGGAGTCGAGAAAGATACCGAGATATTACACGACAAGGAATTAAGTTTCAGATGATGGTATAAAGGGTAGGATTGTTGACAGAGGAGAGAATGTTTGTGTCGGATAGAGCTACAAATGCCCCCGTAGATATATTTCATTTTAACGAGGGATTCCTCTGTGGAGAGCTTTGTGTTCCTCTCACCAAGACAAACATGCTCTGAGAACGAGGGGCTTTGGACCTTGTGGTGGGCCCACTGGGGGGATCCTGTGTCTGACCCAGAAGAACTCTTCACCGAGCCAAAGACGCAATACAATAAGACCCAGAGACGGTGAGCCAAAGCCACAGAACTGACTGACCGTCCCTTATGAAGAAGTGGCTGAGGAGAGACTTTTTGGAAAATGTCTCTAATCGTGGAGTGTTCACAATACAAGCTTTACATCAGTAACTCCTTTGATGTCAGTGATTTCCTTGACCATATGTATAAAGTTCAACTTAACATTACATTTACAGTCTTTGCTGCATGAACAGACACTCCTGATGGTGACATCTGCATCAGTCAAATCCTCTCAGCCTCCAAAGTATCAGGAGAACACACTCCAACAAGTCCTCCTCCCTGCCTCAGACCCCAGCCAACCACTCGCCCTTCGGGACCGTTCAAACACAATCTCACCACACATTTTTCTTCTTTAACATTGTGAAATCAAATACCTCTTCAAGTTGCATTCACTGGAACTGCCAAACAATGTTTGGGGATTTTTCCCTCGCTAGTTCTGCTGGTGTATGGCAGCGAGGAGAGACAGACAAAGAACATTAAAGGTCTTTTGTTGAAATGCAAAAGGCTAAGCATTTTCTCTTTCATCTCTCACTTTAGAACTATTAATCGCCCACACTGCTGTCTGCACGCGTCCAGGAGGACATTGTTATGATCCTCAGTGCTTTCAAAGAAGCATGCCCACTGTCAGCAAATTACATTTTCATTTTGACCAAAGCTGGCCTGAGAAGTACCTGCTGCTAACTCACTCTGGCATCAGAAGCTCTCAGTATGGGTCAGTGGAGAGAGGAGGAGCTGAAAGAGGAGCTCTGGAGGGACTCGGCCCCCACATCATTTGTCAAGAAGTACCTCCATCATAACTGAACTAGTGTTACCTCCTGGGCCTCCGAGCACACCAACATTATATGTTCTCAGACTCAGGCATACCATGGCTTTGTGTGTTCTTCAGCATTTGGTCTTTACTATTTTTTGACAGATTTCAAGTCAATCAGCTGCCAGATCAGAGTTTACGACTTTTTTTTTTTTTTTTTTGAAGATCCATATGACCGACAACTATCAGACATATGTTGTTAATTTCCATGTAATCGCCAACATGTAAACAACGATCAATCAATCAATCAACTTTATTTGTATAGCACTTTTCCTGCACGGACATGCAACACAAAGTGCTTTACAGAGTTAAAAGCAATTAACACAATTAAAGAAAGAAAAACAATTACAAAGAAAGCCCCTCCCTCCCACCCTTCATACTAGACACACACACACACACACACACACACACACAATAGGGAGACATGGCATGGCACTGAGGATCAAGGAAACGCCACCTTTGGGGCTGTCCACACTGGGAGGAGCCGCAGGCCGTGCCATCGGGAGGGACCAGCACCCAGGCCCCCCGACTCCGACAGACAGGTGGACCCCCACATCGAAGGGAGGAGCCCCCAGCCGGCCGGGCCGAAGGGACCCAAGGACAGCACCCCCAATAGCAGACCCGACACAGCTCCCAGTGTGGAGGACCCCCCCTGAGGAAACACTGGAGTTAAAAGCTAAAGACTAAAAGCATAAAATAGGACTAAAAGAATAAATAAAATAAAATAAATACAGTACCAAAAATAAAATACGTAAGATTATAAATAAAATAGAATAGATACAGTACCAGTGATAAATAAAAACAAAAAATTAAGATTAATATCATCTTAAAAAACAAGATAAAAGCAGCAACATAAAGTAGGATAGAACCAGATAAGAACATAAGAAGAGTTTAAAATATTAGTTAAAAGCCTGATTAAAAAGGTGTGTCTTTAATCTTCTTCTTTTAATTCTCTTTGCATTCTAAGCCCATCAAATTGAATGACTCAAAAATATAGGGTTTGTATAAGCCTAGGTGAATAATCAGGACTCGGTAAAGGAGACGCCAAGCATCACTGTGAAGTCCTTCATGATAACATTCAGGGAATCACCAAGCCTGCTATCCGCTACTTGGCTCACCGTAGTGGAGTGAAGTGTATCTCCGGTCTGATCTACGAGGAGACACGTGATGTGCTGCAGGTCTTCCTGGAGAACAGGATTCGTGATGCTGTCACCTAACTACAGCACGCTGTTGTAAAACCTGTGCCAGATTGTGAAAAGACTGCCGGTTTAATCAAAATTACCATTATGCAGTTTTGTCTTGCTGTGACCTTACATAGGCTATGACAAGTATTGATTAACAGCAGAAAAGGGCCAGAGGAGGCTTGTAAGAACATCAAAATGCATTACACTACAATAAGTGATACTGCAAATGACATTAATTAAGTTAAGTTTTTTTCTTTTTGTAGTTAATGTAGTTACCTAGAACAGTGTGGTTCCTGGATACTTGGGCTCTTGATCCCTTCAAATGAAGCAATGTCCACATGTCATGGCTACAGTGTGGGCATGAGTTGTGAGCATTACAAGCAATATATATTTTCTGTCTTTTCCTTTTGATCATCTCATGACTCCTCAGATTTATATAGGGATCAAAACCCCTAGGTTGGGAACTACGGACATAGAAAGGTAGTTATCAATTGGTCAGTCTGTAGCGAAACAGCTGTAAGCTAATTAGGCTGTTTTTTTTGTGAACAGTTCATGTATTTTAATGTAGTTTTGTCATTTTGTTCTTTTCTATGCCTGGAACAGTGTCTAATGCAGTGGTTCCCAACTGGTGTGTCGCGGTCCTTTCTGAATGGACTGCAAGTGACTCACAAACGTCTTAAGTTTGTATCGTTTCCAACGTTTCTAGCACAGGGCTTTTACTTTGAAGTGCCGTTTCCTGCTGTAGAGTGAATGACTATTGGACAGGTGCTTGAAAGAGACAGTAAACTGGCACGACGACATGGCCAACTGCATGTATAGCGCTGAATATATTGA